GAAAATGACGACTGTGCAAAGTAGCATTGTGAAATGTTCTCAATTTCCACGCCTTAAGTTTCTCTATTTTATATCTCAGCGAAAAAAATTGTTACGGCGTTCATATCTAGCTGAATGTTCCTCCCAAAAACATGGCTTTCATATATATTTTTAAAAAAAATATCTAAAATATGACCCGGACCATCATTGCATGAATTGACGTGGAATCACCCTCCTGCGATTTTGCACCAGGGGCTGCTTTTGCTCCCGCGCGCCTTTCGGTTAGTCCTGATCGAGTACAGTTAGTCCCCAGCATTTGCGCACGGTACCTAGCTCGAACCAGATGGTCTCCTCGGGGAGCAAATGGGAGTTCAGAGGATCAAATGCTGCCGTTAGTCCTTTGAGACCATCTTTTTTATTAGAGTGAAACGTGCAGGACATTTCGCTTGCATTGACGTTTTTACCACTAATTTTATCAAAGCAAACGAAGCCGCTAGAAACAGCGAAGTTCCGAAGCAGTGCCAGCAGCGCTACGTACACTAGGTAAGATGGCCATCTCCGGATTGCGGAACCCACGTGGAACTGTGTCGACGTTTTCGGCGTTATGGAAATCGCAGAAACTGCGTCCAAGACGGGCAGGTTTTGCTGCCGGCTGCCTGGTTGTCTTACGCGCTGAGTTCGGTTCTGTTTTCCGATGCCGAGTGCCGACCGGCAATCAACGTGGTTCTGAATTTCTGCGTGTCAGCAACATAGCAGCAACATCGAGATGGCAGTGTTCTGCGTTGTGAACAGAAGACTGGAATTATCGCCGATGTGACCTTGTGTTCGCGTACCAATGGTATGACAACAAGATGAGATGACGTAAACTGTCGGGCATTAATGCCGCTGGTCGGGCCGTGATCGGAGGGGGCGGGGTGTCGCAGGTTGACGTTCCGCTTTACATCAGATTAGGTACGTGCAATCGATCGACTTGCGGATAGTCATGTTGGAACGCTGGTCTGAACGGTAAGCTCCTATCGTACAGTGGCCAATGTGACTGTCAGTTGTCTCTTCGCCGAGAGCGATTGCGCTTTGGGGAAAGGACTGAACAGTACAAAATTATGACGGAAAGTACGTATATTTGCAGTGTGGAATTTTAGCATTAAAAAAATAGTAGGTGGAATCGAAAAAAAAAGCTACCCTTTATTTTGTTGTTTAAATATAGCAGTGTGTTCCTCGAGAAAACTGCCCTTTAAGTGGTGCGCTGGGATGAGCGCTCGAAGTTTTCGAGCTCGCCGCGGCGTAGCTCCGTACATTTAACACCTGCCGCAAATCGCGGCTTTAACTACATTCAAGTTGATCGAAAAGCGATTTCTCTGCCCGTGAAGCATCCCTTCCAGCTGAAAGAATATCCGCTCTCAGATTAATTCATGACGGCAATTGCAGCCGTGCGCGAACAGCAGAAATAGAAAAACCAACACTACGATAGAAATACCGGCTGCGACGAGCCGTGGAAGGAAACAAACTCATGGCTTGGAATCGCATCGGAGCGGCTTGATTAACTGGCTTTCAAATAATTACGGCATGATCGAGCGTTTTCTTTTCATTAAGAGATTCAACCCCTAAGCCACTCAAAATAGTCTCAGAGCCATATGACATTGCTGGAAAAAAAACATGCTGCGAATATTTTTTTACGAAGTGTCTAGCGTTACGTCCGACGCAACCCAAGTTACGTCAAAATCTCCGCCTTCCCTAGGTTCGCGGGGGAGAGAGAGGCGGGCGCGGGGGAGGGTTAGGTATACGCGTCTCAGTGCTCCGTCCGGACGTAACGCTAGCCACAGCGTTTTTTTTTTTTTTTATTGCTTAGGCAGTCACCGATAAATTCCGTACGTTCAAAACGACCAGTATAAAAAACGGAAACGCAGAGGTCGGTTGTAGCGATCGGGTTAGTGCTCCGTAGTATTGATGTTTGTATGTGCCATGTGTGTGTATGTGATCAATGTATGTTCAGCTGATGCTTGTAGCATGTGAATTGTGTCTACATGCGTGTAGAATAGAGGTTCCCGAAGGTCCCGGAGTGCAATGATGTCGTGAAAAAGTAAAATTATTTTTTGTATAATTAACATGAATTGGGTGGTACCTAGCGCCACCTAGCCTAGCTGCTTGCAATTTCTCTGTTTGACCCTGCCATCTGGTGGCAAGCGATTTAACTTTCTTTCACGCTATGCGATAAACAGCGTCTTCGAGTTTGTTCTTTTGAGAGCGACTTTTGGTTTCGCGGATTGGTTTGCCATTCCTACGTGATGTGCGGTTGACGAAGGAGTTGTGACTCGAGGAGCACCAAAAGTAAGACGTAAAGTGCGCGAAGTAACTGGGTATCGGTTGTCTCCGTTTAACATCGCAGTGCTGACGACAAGAAGACTGAGTAACTGCTTTTGAAACGTAAGTTTCTGTACTTGCGAGGGAAACTGGCTTCGGAAATAAACACAGTTCGCGGAAAGCTCGTGTTACGCTTTTATTTGCTGCTCCTCTCGTCCCGTACAAGAGACGTAGCGTCCTCGTTAAGCCTTATTGAGCTCGATTTGCTCGATTCGGGCCGGCATAATGAGATGCAGGCGATGGAGGGACTATTTGCTCCCCTGCTTCAGGGACAAAAGTTTCTCCCTTTCTAAAGGAACATAGGTCACAAGACCGTTCCTCCCCTTAGGGAGGACTATCGATACCCTTTTTTCTAAGATGCGGAGACAGAGCAACGACGTAGTAATCGCGAAAAGAGAGCCGACTGCGCCTCGATCTGGTCGACCGCGCTCGCCCAGCTGAAATATGAACATGGGACTTCCGAGCACCGTTAGCTTGCTGATGTTGCGGAAAACTGTTTTGTAGCTGAGAATACTTTGTCTTGCGGACGCCTCTGAAGCCGTTCCAGTGCTCGGCGCACCGCCCGCGCAGCATCGGAACCTTTCTGGCACCTGTTAGCAGTCTGCGAGCGCCGGCGGTTCATCGTTGCGACTTGAATGCGAGTGTTTTATAAACCCTCGCGAACATGAATCTCCGCGACGAAGAACCTCCAGAGCTCACAGACAGGAGGTTGCGATGCTGCACGAACGGCTGATAAAAGGCGCTGCATAGCGACGCCTAGCGCTGGAACGTCTTCGCAGGCGCTCGAAAGGCAAAGGATTTGCGACGATAAAGCAGCGTCCTGCATCTTCAGCAAGCTAAGGGTGCCCAAGAGTCCCACACCTATGTTTCAGCTGAGCGAGTGCGGTCGGCCAGATCGAGACACAGTCGGCTTTCGCGTCGCGATTGCTACGTCCTTGCTCTTCCTACACTGATGACATGTGCACTGACAAAACAGCTCTTTCGAGACTGTATGCGAGTGAAACAGGCGTGCCAGTGCCGCCGCTCTGTACTTCAGTATCAAACGGGCGGCTCATAACGTAAGGGGAGAGCCGTCACCGATCACCCGCTTGTGAAAAATGGCCACCCGTTTGAACAAACGGGCGACCCGCTTGCCCAAACGAGATACCCGTTTGCCCAAACGAGTGACCCGCTTGCCGAAAGGAGTGATCCATTCACCCAAGCGGGTGACCGGTATGGCTCAAACGGGTGACCGGTATGGCTCAAACGGGTGGCCCGTTTAACAAACGGGTGACCGGTATGGCTAAACTGTCACCGGTATGAACCCGTTTACTTTCATACAGGGGCCAAATGCTTTTTCCAGTAGAGGTGTGAAGAGCTACCCCAGCAATATTCGTGCTGACTTGGAAAATTTTCAATATAGAAAGCATTATTGCAGGTATGCCGCAGTGGGGCAGATAATAAGTCTACGAAAATTTTGACTGGTTCGGCTTTAATCGTAGTCCCCAGCTGCAGTATCATTTCAGAAGGAATCAAGAATTGTAAATTTTTCAATTTGGTTACATGGGGCCAAAAATATAGTGTTTGAGATTCTGGGCGAAATATATATATTTCTAAGTCTTGCATTGAGCACTGTGGATCCAAGGCCGCACCAAAGTTTAAAGAATGAAAGTTGCATTTGTCCGCCATTGATACATCACGGTACTGATGACCGTCAGAAGTAAGACAACTGGGGATCTTTCCTCTCGGTTCACCAACAAGTCTTTCCATTTCCCTCCAAGTTTCTTTAGTGCCATCAGATATAACAACAAACTAGTTTTTATAATATTGTATTCGAGCTGTCTTAAGATCTGTGTTTCATTTATGTACTCTTTGTTTGCACTCGTTGAGAACTGTTTGGTCTCTAAATAGGATGAATATATCAAATAGGTTAGTTTGTGAAACAGTATGAACCACATCTATGTGCATATATACTAAAAGATCACGCTGCTGCGTTCGATTGGCGACAGCACACACGCAAAAATATGTTGAATGCCGTAAAGCTTTTGTCTCTGCGAAACAGAATGACCCGACTGTGTCCTACTGGGGAAATAGAAGGATCTTATACTTACTTACTGGACGTCCTTCTTCCGATGAACCAGATTACGAAAAACATCTGGACTAAGGGAAAATGTACTGATTCGTAAGTGCTGCCATTTCTATGTTATGGGTTGAATGACTTTGTCACATGGGCATTGAGGGCGTCTATAAAGCTCTATACTCCATTTCGCTTTGAGTACGACCGCAGGCGACACCACGATTGTAGGGAGCCAATCAAGCAGTGACAAAAGACTATCGACACGACGCTCATCCTTTTTCTGGCTGCATGCGTATAGTGCCTCAGGTTGAAAATACATTTACAAGGGTAGAGGTAACTGGTGACACACTGTTTGATGGTGGCACAGGAGGTTAAATCGGAGCAGGCAGAAGATCCTTTTGGAGCTCGGCAACAACTGTTTGTACGCCTTTCCTTATCAAAAAAGCAAAGTGAGACATTGTCTCTAATTGACTGGTATTTTATTTCACAAGTCGCAATGGCATGCGGGGAAAAGATGAGGGTGACATTTACAAGCACATTGTGGGTTGAAGCGTAGATAGAATAGCGTACTCTACAAAGCAGGTGTATTTCTGGCCTCACGCCTAGTCTACTTCTTGCCATAGCCAAGCTTTCCGACGCCGCCGTATCCGCCGAGACCGCCAAGGCCGCCGCCGTAGCCACCGAGTCCTCCGCCGTATCCTCCGCCAAGTCCGCCGAAACCACCTCCGAATCCGCCAAGACCGCCGCCGCCTCCGAGACCTCCGAGACCTCCGAAACCGCCTCCGACTCCGACTCCGACAGCGCCGACCGGGTAGTGGACCACTGGCCGGATGTGGTGGGACACCGAAGCCACGGGCTGCTTGACGTAGCTAACCACTGGCTTGGTTACAAAGTTGAGACGGACCACTGGCTGCTTCACGTAGGACACTGTAGCGACGGGCTTCGCAACAGCGACTGGCGTGGCCACAGCCACTGGGGCAACAGCGACGGGTGCGGCCACGGCTACGGGGGCAGCGGCTACAGCGACACCTGGACCGAATCCTCCGAAACCAAGACCTCCGAGGCCGAGTCCTCCGCCTCCACCAAGACCGACCAGGCCCCCGCCGAAGCCGCCGCCGAGGCCTCCGCCGAGTCCGTATCCTCCAAGGCCACCGCCGAAGCCTCCGCCGCCAAGACCGTATCCGCCACCGAGACCACCGAAGCCTCCCCCGCCAAGACCGTATCCACCACCGAGACCGCCACCGAGACCACCGCCAAGACCATATCCGCCGCCGCCTCCAACGAGTCCGACACCGCCGCCGTAGGCGCAGGCCGCCAACGAGGACAGAATAAGCACCTGCGAGGGAACGAGGGCAAGGTGATCATACCTTCATTGGAAATATTTTTGACACACTTTAGGGGTTACAAGTGTTCGGGCTAACCACATAATGAGGGAAGTAGGCAGCTGACACTGTGGCTGTGCGAAAACACCTGTAAAAGAGTGTTAGTGTTAGTGATCATGATTCATACCTGAAAAGTTGCAGCAGAGATGCACAGCCGTAATAAGCGTAATTTTATTGATGCCTAGGGGCCTGAGTAGCGGGATTGACGTATTTGTGACTCACGAGATTCATTCTTCATTTTACGCTGCTGAGTTACGAACTACGAGACAGAGAGAAGCTAAAAAGTTCAGTTTTCTTTCCGCACAGATCGAGGTTGATGTGGGTTGTTCAGAAGGCTGCTTTACCGTATATATTGTGCTTACCCACCGTTATTATTCTTTTTGCACGTTAAATCTGAAGTAAACACCCGTACGAACAGAAAACATTCGCATCATAACATTAAACCGGGAAACACTCAGCACTACAGCAACTTGCTAGCTATGCGCCCTTGGCGACTCTCTTTAATAGAACTACTAAAGTGCCTTTGGCAGGTAAGGCCCATATATATTTTGTTTCATTTTTATCCGGAACCAGGACCAATGTTAACATTGAATTTTCAGACGAAAAGTATTGAAATATGGTAATTTGCACAGGATCAACTCAACTTTCAATCTCGATTTCGCACTGTCGAAAAACATTTCACATAAAAAGAGCGCCATATCAATCTTCATTCCAGGACACTTTCAATCCTAAGTAATCGCAATTTTTTCCTACGCCAGCGCAGGCTTGTTGTTTTAAGGCTACATGTGATACGCCTCAACCAATTTTATCAATAGGCGAAACCGCGATAGTAAAGTCGTCTAGACACTCGAATAGCTTAGACTATTCGATTAGTTCGAAACATTGTACACGTCGGGGTGGGGCAGAAGAACACATTGTGACACAAACGACCTTTGTGAGAAGCTCAGTCGCCGAACGGCGTAATGAGCATTCCCACCAGAGGGCGTTTCCGTCATTACCCCGCGATTCCCTGCCGCACATGTGCCGGCAGGACCGGGGGTGGGACCGCTCCAGCGAGCGATACTCACCAAAGCGTTCATGGCTGGAGATGTGCGGTTGCTGTTCTCGAGTCAAGGGAACTTGTGCCTCTCTGGGGACATCGACCGGGTATTTATACCGAATTCAAGTGTCGCGGGGGACGACGCAGAGCCCTCCCCTGACCCAAAAGAAAGGAGTACCAGAGAGCGGCTAATCTATCGCTCCTTCTTCCTCGGAGACGGTTCCGAAAGTTTTCAATTTTTAATTTCGGCACGTCCCAATCTTGTCCACAATCCTTTTGCGGCATGAGACTGGAGCTATATCCGTTCTCATCTCGGACGCTTTCTTTCGGTGATTCGCTTAAAAAAAAAAAAAAAAAAAGAAAACGAAAGAAACCGTTTTGGGCTCGTCCCTTGAGCTGTTTCCTTCCTTCCGACGCGGCTTCCTTCCTTACAAGGCTCTTCTTTGGGGATCCTTGCTTTTAAGTATGCATCGGGTGTTGCCTGGTCCCGAGTTTCCTACTGCCGTCTTTTCCTCGGGTGCGACGATACGGCCTCGCTCAGTCAATTACTAAACGTCATGGTAATGGCCAGCCCGATACTTTGAAGCTTTCGCGCTGTTATCTTCCACGCCACCCGTCGCCGAAACTTACCGCGAAGTTTCGTACGCGCCCGAGGAGAAAGCCAGTGGATTAAAGACCGCTGTTCTTTTCTCGGGGCCGCCGGTGAGCATTCTCAAGATCGTGACTCAACTTATATCACCCGTGATTGAGCGCAGCGACCTGCTCCAGCGTCTACGCGCCTCGTCCATTAAGGGACTTAGGTCCAGTTTGGTATTTGGGTTAAAACTTAAAAGTCAAAGAATGGAGCAGATCGCGCTTATTGAATAGATGATCGAAAGCTGGCTATGTTTCGGGCCAAGTAAAATGTTAGGATGGCAGCTGCTGATAACACACTGTTTACGTCACGCCCGGCTGAGAAATTGGGCTAAGCTGTCGGGTGGAAAAGCTTCTGGTTCATGAGTGGCTTCCATTTCAAGCACCGCGTTGAGACGTCATTGATACTATGTATACACTTTGGCGTGTAACATTAATCTTACTAGACGCTTTGTATTGGCAGGAAATCCCGGCAAAAGCACAAAATCAAGCCATTGGGAATTCCAGATGGCCGAAAGACACCAAGAAACTTTCACGAACGTTATGCTTATTGGTATTTTCTTTTCTCTTTTAGCTGGACAACAAAAAGAATTTGAGCTCTACAATATTTCGAGAAAAACAAATTCCACATAAAGGGAAAAAAAAAAATCAGGGAACCCACGAAGGTCAGACGACGTTCTCAAATTCCAGAGTCGTGTCTTTCATTCGTATACATGTTCACAGATTGGTAGTTTTAGCAAAAAGTTTAGCTGCCAGCAAGTAAAGTGTTTAAAAAAATAGGGTATCCATCACTTTCTGCATTAGCAGTGCCGCAGTGTTTACCTGCCTTACTCTGGTGGTAACACTTGATTACTGACGAAACATACGTGATCAGTATCGTACCCATGATTTTATGCTCGTAGATATACGCACTCGCATGACGTAAAAGGTGACGTGAGTTGAAGCACCTTAGTTTTTACTCTCCTTACTTACCTAAATTCCTAATTTTAAAGCTCACTTCGTGCTTCCTACAATGAGTGACATTCTTTGTGGCTTCGAATAACGTGACGGTGTAGGTTTTATGAAGCAAAGGATGGTCTGTTGTAAAGTAATGAACCAGAAGTTGGCACGTTCTGCTGCGTCATATGTGTTAGTGGTCGTTAATTGTAAAACACAGCACAGCCTTTCTAGTACCTTCGTTGAGTGCATCTTTTAAATTAGACTAGGCCTTTCATGAGTCTGAGAATGGCCGTCCCGCTCTTGTCTACTCAGCAAACCCCACAACAGTAATTATGAATGTAAGCATTATCACGCTTATTAAAGTGCTCCTTAATGCAGTCGCAACTTTTTTAACGTACAAGACGCTAAAGGGGCGACTAGATAAACAAGGCGGATACGAAAAGGCGACATAGAAGTGCCGTCATTAAAGTCACGTGACGTGACTTGTTGCGTCGTGTCACGCGTCCTGTGACCACGTGACCTGAACCACGTGATATCATGCATTTTGAGTCTGCAACTTTCGGTATAAACACGCTCACACCGACCTGAACGACCCTATAACGTATTCCGCGTACAAGGATTTTGGTAGAGATGATCAAAATGGGCTGCAAGATTTTTCTTGTCTTAATATATGTTTGCGGAGGGAGATCAGACATACATGAGTGTCATAAATGATGGTGTTTTCTGGCTCTACACTCGGTTAGAGTTCTGTTGTTAAGATCACCATACATTCCCCAAAACCCGACCTCTTAATTTATTCGCTGCACGGTTTATCATTGCTAGAATGTCGTTTACACGAGACGCTGTTATGCTTAGTTCTTCGAAGTAACTGGTTAAAACATTTTCACAAATGTATTTTCTCAAAAAAACCACACCGATTGAAACTTTGGATCATGTGGCATTGAAATCACGGTGGCCGTAACTCCACTCGAAGATCCGGATTACGTGGCTCCTCCAGCTCCTCAAGAAAAGATTGAAAAAGCAAGCACACACTGTGATACATTATAGATTATGCCTGACACTACTGTGAACGTATAGCATCAGAACAACGACAAGGAAGTTCAACCATTGGAATCAACTAAAGTAAAGGGGCTTCGATATGGAGAAAAAAAATAGAAAGGTATTCATATACAATATTTAAAATCAATCTGAAAATAAAACTTTTCAAGCAAGCACGTGATGGGTTAAAAAAAAGAAAACATTTGTATGCAACGTATCAAAATCAAATTGCGTCGAGTACTTCGAAGCGGAACTTCCGGTCATTCGAATTCTTAGAGCACAATCCCTGACTTCCTTTTTAGGAAGAAAAAAAATTTCGTTTTTAGACATCAGCCTGAGATTCGTTGCGCATAAAGAGGAACAGGTTTCCGCTCTATATTAATGAATAGCCTTAAAGGCCGACGTACACTTCGCGCTTTCCACTTCTGTCTGCCACCTCCTTTCCTATATCCTCTCCACGTTTTACCTTGCCCCAACCTGGCTCTCCCTCGCAGCTTAGGAGAGGGGAGCGCTAAGAGGATTATCTTCCCTGCAGAAAACCGAGGTTGCACGTCGGCCTTTAAGCTGTATACAGACATTCGTCTCCCATAAAATTAGCCTTACTTATACTGCCCGTGTACGTTCCTTATTTTGTTTAATTATTATATTACATTCGCAACTTGAAGCAAAAAGCGCTCCATCTATTTCGACCCGTTTTATCTCGAAAAGAATCATGACACAGCATATGCCTTCAAGCGTTCATGGCAAGATCGTTTTCCTTTCTGCGGAGGTGGTCGAGTAGAGCGTTTTTAAACTTCCCATGCCACACTCGCTGCCACGTGACCTTGTGACGTGAACACATATCTCAAGCTGACCATGTCCCCGATCAAATTCTGGCAGAGTCGATAGCGCTGCCGTGCTCATGCATTTGAGGGAAGAAATAAAACACAAAGAAAAGCACAGCAACGCAGATGCTTCGTCACGGTAGCCGGCAGGGCGCTCAATGTCGAAGTGGACGCGCCAAAGAAATAAAACACAAAGAAAAGCACAGCAACGGAAATGCTTCGTCATGGAAGCCGTGGAGCCGGCAAGAGCGCCGCGCCTACGCAGTGGAGGAGCGGGATGTCGCCGCCGCACGACAGCTGAAGCAAAAGGAAGAAACACAAACACACAAACACCGAATACAATAGCGGCAGAAACAACTTTAATGCGTGTAGAAACATTAGTCAAAAAAATTTCACCCGCGGGACTATAATGCTTTCGCATTCCTACACGTAACCAGTCTTTATGTCTTCAGCGATTTTTTTTTTTTTTATAATCGTTGCGTGTCAGGCAGAAGGGAAGTACTTCGCATTTTATTAGATTGGAAGGCAAAGTTCAGAATATGAAACCAATTTATGGAATCTTACTTATCTTTTTTACCTTCAAATCTTCTGGTGACTCTACTAGCTATGGCTTTTTCATATAAACTCTTGCACAAACCTATTTCAACCCTCCGGTCGTAATATTTTGTCAAGATATACAAGATCTTTCGGTACGCATTCAAAAGCCCATCTGAGTACAATAGCTTTCTCGAAGATTTTACCTTGTCTACTTATCTCTGCGTTTAG